CCGAACGCTCCTCTGGTCTCCTGCTCGTGAGGGATTCATTACAATATCGTAACATGGCTTAGATTTCTAAATAAACATTCACCTCGTCGCTAGATAGACCTACTCCTGAAAAATTCGTGCGCAAGGCTTTTTGTTCCTACGAGGCCTCCGTCATTTACCCGACGGGAGGGGTGAGCGAGTGAGCCCTGCAATCTAGAATTTGGCCACTGATGTCACTGTTTTCAACCCATTTTACACACTGGCCCTTTAAACATTGCTGTCGATAAATTACTTTGTTGACTCACCTTTTCGACACTTGACAGGTGTTGATATCTGGAGTTGAAAATATGTCTGAACCTCTTGTGGAGCTGAAGGTGAACTAAAGACAGTAATGGGCTAATGGTGCGTGTTACAGCTGACCATACGTTCTCAAGCCTTTTCTCTCCAGAGAAATCATCACACCAATTACTATTAACACGTCTCTGTCTGGTTTGATATTGGGGTCAGTGCTGATCATTATGCTCTTAAATCGTTCTTATACCCAGGGGTTTAACCAACTTAATGGTCACACCGATCGTGAAAGGTTATTATCTGACTCTTGGGTATATTTGCGAAATGACCAAAGTGGATGTTGTGACAGAGAGGTGTGGTGCGAGAGAAAGGAAGTGCGCGTCCAGCTGATGAAGCTGAGGTAATTGCCTTCCAAAGGAAAAATGGGCACAGAGAAATGTAAGGAACGTATCCCCGTTTAACAGGAGATGGTGGGAGAAATGGAAAGAGGGATCAATATTTGCTCAGGCTCAGAATGAGTCATAGCTCTCTGGGTTGATTTTATCTTTCAGGGCACACACACAGACACCCTCTTACCTTGCACATACACTAAACCTTTAGAAGAGGGCCTGTTGTCTGAGTAACAGATCTGACCTTCCTCGCAGACTATTTAGCCTTTTAAAAAAACATAAAAAACAACCTCTGCAGGGAAATTGCACTTGGAAAAAAGCAAATTAAAATGTAATTAAAAACGAATCTCTAAAATAATTGCCAAGTCTGTTCTTATTTCCCAAAATGCTACCCAGTATTATAGTGAATATAATGGTTTATTTCAAAATAAGAGTCTTACTGAAATTGCTTCTTGATTTGTCCCTGCAAACATTAAAATTTTTCCCAAACATAAATATGAAATTACAGTCACATACCTGTACACGTGTAGTTATTGTGCTCACTTAAACTCTAGTAGTCACGAGTTTGCAGTAATTTTCTTGGCTAGCACTCAAAATTCTGTGCAAGTGCTTCACAGGAGCCACTCAGAAGAAAACTGAGGAGAATAAAATCTTCTGAAACATCTGTGCTCGATGTCTTCCCTCTAGCTGGAGCGTATGTTGGAAGGAAGTGCAGTGCGTGCCCAGAAGCAGCTGGTGCTGCTGCACAGAGAAGACGGCCCCCCACCCAAAGGAACTGTGGACTGGCTCAACATGCGAAGCTGGATCTCCAGACACCTCCATCTCTCTTGTCCCCGAAGGGTCTTCTCTAAGAGGAGCCTGCCCAAACTGGTAGGAATGGAAAATATGGCCAGAGCGTTTTTTTTTTTGTTTGTTTTTTTTTGTTTTGTTTTGTTTTTGTCCTCATCTGCAGATCAAAACACTTTCTTCAGTCCCTTTCAGGCTGCTCTCCTCTAAGCTTCTCATTTACTACTCACAATCCTCTCTTTTTCATTCAACATCTACATATTTTCTCTCATCCTCTCAGTTCTTCTTTATCCTCTTACCATCTCACTCGTTCCTCTCTACTTTAATTACAGTGATTTCCCTGTTTTTCAGATGGAGCTGTATCAACGTGTGTTTGAGAAGCCAGCAGACCGCCACTCAGACTTCTCCCGCCTGGCTCGAGTTCTAACGGGCAATGCTATTGCTCTTATCCTGGGTGGAGGAGGGGCTAGGTAACATTACCCCACTGTCTGTCTTCCCAAACAGTTATTCTAAGACCTCATGTCATATTAAAGCAATGTCCCGATCGAGTTTGTGCTGCTGTTCTGAATATCAGCATGGCTGTGATTCGGTGGCGGCCTCATGCTGAAGATGATCACAGCTGACAGACCTCAAGTGTGATATTGCTTTAATACAACAGTTCTACAAGCACCCTTAATTAGTTAACAGTAATACACAACAACAGATTATGGTTTGTTTATTTATTTGATCATTTATTTGGCTCTGCTTACATAAGTAGTTCCACACCTAGACTGGGACTGGACTGTTGCCAGGGGACACAAACATTTCTGCACAGGGGTTTGCTACTTTGTGTAAGCTAGGTGTACACATTACTGTGTTTTCAAGTTGGAAAAAAAAGAAAAGAAGAAACGGTGAGTGGGGAATAGGGGCTGGTTAGAGCCACGCATAGGTACAGAACAGGGTTTTCCAACTAACCAGACAATAGGTGACATCCCTTTGTGTATACGGTCCATTTTTCCCAGTATTTTATATTGATCGAATCTCAGTCTTAAAGAAAATATAAGTTTCCCTATCCAGTGAATTTTGTTAATAATTGCAATCCAGTCATCCTTTAAAAGGGGGCTTGCCTGTAGCCACCTCTGTGTGATGGCTTTCTTGCTCGCGGCCAACTTAACTTTGTAAAGGTAATTGTCCTGGGTCATGAGATTGTCCGGGATGACAAAAGAACAGTCGACTTCGATTCCAAAGATGATCCGTATCTCTATGGCAATCTCTTGCTAATATGGATAAATAAGTGGGCATTAGTGTTGTCACAGTACCAAATTTGGGACTCACAGTACGATACCAGTGAAAGTATCATGATTCTGAGTAGTATCATGATACCACGGCAAAAATGAGGCAGATGTGCCTTTTGTCATTTATAAAAAGATAAATCACTTTTCTATAATACATCAATGATATTTCAATTGAATAAATTAATTACTTACTTATTCATACTTCAAAAACAGCATCAATAAGTGATTAATATAGGGGGGATTGAAATAAAATAAATAAATAAATAAAATAAAAATCAACCAGCCACCCTCCTCCCCTGACAGGTAAAGAACAGTGCCTTAAATGCAGTGAGGTTTGTGGACCGTTACCTGCCACAAAGAGAGAAATGTGAACGGCTCGTCTCTCCTCTGACACGTCACATACTTGTGTGCCGCCACGGCTCGGCTGTTCAGGTATTTCTGGGCAGTCATGACACCAACGAAGACTTAGTGGACCTTCTCAGTCACCGGTAAACCGTTATCTTGCTCTGCAGAGCACTATGGCCGCCGTATTTGACAGGAATACGTATTCCTGTTTGTGTCTGTGACCCCTGTCCAACCCACAACCGGCAGGATTCGCCTTTCGTTTCTTTTGCTGGTTGAAATCTTTGAACTTATCCCACAGTAGTGGTTCCATGAGGTACCGTAGTACTACGGTACTCCAACATTATGGTATCATATGTACCGTGGTGTTTTAGTACCGCGGTCTACCGTTGGTACCAGTATACCGTGCAACACTAGTGGGCATCCCCAAAAAATATGAAAGTGGTCCGCCATTGATTTACCACACAGCCTCCAGCATTCATCCTGCCCCTGAGACCCCTGTTGTAGTCACAAATTATCATATTAAGTTTTTCCAGCAGAACTCCCACCAGGATCTTGAAGTGGTGGTCTGGTATCTTTAGTCTTATATAAGTATCATGTACCTTTATTTATATATTTACATTTATGGTGCAACCAGTGAAATAAGAGTCCGTTTACCATTGCTTTGGTGGCATGTATGATTCTAGTGACTTGGAGCCTGATCAGACAGTATGTTCCAACATCAGCTGATGTCATGTGAGCACACCTGGAGGTCTGCAATGAAGTATCCAGGCTTTTTTCCCTTTCTTTGTCCATTTCTGACAACCATTTATTATTTTTTTCAAGTGTTATTTGTGAAAATATGTTTATGTTTGCTGTGAAAAGTTTGTTACAGTGACCTTTAATACAGGCTAATTAACAGTGAATGTAGTTAACGGTTTAGAACACCTGTAAAGCAGAGTGATAAATGCATAGTTAAAAGTCCCAGTGCTGTTATACTCTGTATCAGCACTCATGCAGTGCTTCTTGTACAATCAAATTACTTGGTCAGAACTAACAGGACAATATAATATTTTAAATATGACGCCTGCTCTAGGCTTAATAGATTTTATAACTGCCAGAGGCTCAGAACATAATTAAAAAGCTTTTTGGTTTCATCCTTATGCAGGCTGGGTATGTCTGTGTCTTTTTGGTTACATAAATGTATCTGTCTTTTCATGTGTATTTCTCCACCCACCTGTTCAGGGGCTGCTCCCAGGTGGGGGTAATGCGAGCTCTCTGCGAGTCCGGCATCCCAGTGGACCTCATTGGTGGCACCTCTATCGGTTCCCTGATGGGGGCACTGTATGCTGAGGACCGAAGCCACAGCCGCATGAGGATGAGGGCCAAAGAATGGGCAATGGTGAGAGTCAAAGCAACAGTGACACTAGTCTTGCAATAAACCCAAATATTAAGAGTCAGTGATCTGTTTTATATCAAGTAGGAATTTCAAATGTATCCCACCTATCATCAAAAGGTGCCTTCTCCATATTGTTTTTTTCCTTTCTTAGACAGGGGACACTATAGAAGTGACAGTAAATGAATGCAGAAAGACAGAGGTCGGATTTGAACCAGGGATGTTCTGCGTCGTAGGCCACCAGAAAACTCCTTCCCGTAGTTTTTTTTTAACTTGTATTGAATTGACTTACAGTAAAATGTTGATGCATCATGACCTTGATCAAACATCTTCAGCATGTTACACATCTGCTCACTGCAGAGCTTGGAGAGAGACGACCTACAAGTGTGTTCTCCTTAGGTGGTGTATTTGTAATTATGTCTAGAATTAGGCTAAATAATTGTGACAAACAAATGGTTCAAGTGGGATCATTCAGTCGACATTATTCTGTTTGTGGAACAGAAGCTGCGTTCAACAACTCCTCCTCCGCATGCCCCAGTTCGGAGAGAGGAATATTTTCAAATTTCTGCCTGTGAGTCTGTCCTTGTGAAGGTGACTCTTTCTGACAGCATTTTTATTTCATTACCTCTGTTTTGCTTTTCATATGATTACCCACGCTGTGCTGATTAACCATTAATAGTAATTGGCTGGTGCTGCACACACAGCCTCGAGTGGTTTGCACTTTGAGCTCAGGAACAGAAGCGTTTTGGTTGTAATGTGCAGCTCAAACTTATGTCTTTAATCCTGTGACCATTCATGATGGCTGATTTGAGACACCTGCTCAGTCTCCAGGTCGGCAGGCTGAGCATATGGTATGATTCGTCCTCCTCAGTGTATCCAGTCCCTCCTCCTCTGGCTCTGTCCTTGGTTCTGAACCTTCCCTTTAGGAGCAGCTGGTTAAGTTACTGCTCCTTAGTATCAAATTAAAAGAACCACTGTTGCAATAAAAAGTTTGCCCCTAGCAAAGATGGAGCGGTACAGTTTGCTCTGTTTAAATGCATTTTATGACAAGTGAAGATTTTTTTTAACTGCTAAGAAAAAACAATCAGAGCCCACCAGATTTTCTTACATCAGTTGTGCTTTGTACTGGAGAAAACATCTTGTTGTGTGGAGCACAGAAGCCATTTGACCTTTCTTCTCTCCTGCTCTCTCTGCAGGAAATGACATCAGTGTTTAAGAAGGTTCTGGATTTAACATACCCAGTCACCTCCATGTTCACCGGTGCTGCCTTCAACTCCAGCATCAGCAATGTCTTCAAGAGCAAACAGATTGAGGTGATTTTACTTAAGAACCCTGAGGTGACAATAAATTGTTCAAAGAATCTGGTGGTGGTGCAGGATAAGCAAATGTATTATGTGACTCTACTATATTTATCTGTCTTGATGTGACCTTCTGTGTATGCAGGACCTTTGGATCCCATATTTTAACATCACAACTGACATCACTGCCTCTGCCATGAGAGTACACACTGATGGTAAGTTCAGTATTCTGCTTTTTATTTTATTTTAGGAGAAGACACTACAGGTGAATAAGGTGAAACTTTTAACAGATATCACCATGAAACCTCCCCAGTAGATTACTTGCAGTTAAAGTTGTGTTCACACCGGACCTGTTTTTTTTTTTTCTGCTGTCGCTTGGTTCGCCCCTTTGATATCGCTTCATCGCTCAGTTGCAATCGCTCGTCAATGTGGCAGAAATCAACAGACTCGCTTTTTCACTTTGATGACGTCATTGAAGCAATCAGGGTATTTGGGGGGGGGGGGTCTGCTTGACTGTCATGACATGTCAGCTTCATTAAAAGTATAGCTGCAAATTAAAAGCAACAATAGATGTAAAAACACACAGACAATACATCTGAGCATTTATACCTCTGACCGCGGCAGAAAATTATACATTTTGATACATACAGGTGGCTATACACATTGCAAAACTCTGTAAAAGTACACCAAAGCATACATTGTCGTTTCCAAATATTTATTTGAAAACAAAACCATTCATACGGTCACTAAAAAAACATTTTGTCAATAATAAAAAACGAATGTAATCTCAACAGTGACCGCGCCATCCAGCGGGACTGCGGCTGAACCGCTTCCAATGTTCATTCATTCATTCAGTTGCGTGTTCAGTGTTTTCATTAAAATGTGTAGTATTTTTCATTAAAATGCGTAATATAGCCAACAATATTATTACCAAAAGTTATCTAATTTATTATTGTAGAATGTATTTAGCAAATCGCCACTTTCAACTGGAGACACAGCGCAGCATCAGAGCCTCTGAGCTACAGCGAAAGATGCATTGGCGCTGTCCGTGGTGCTTTACACTAGGACCGCCAGGATTACAGCGCCCCTCCAAGCGCCGCAGTCCCGCTGGATGGCGCGGTCACTGTTGAGATTACATTTGTTTTTATTATTAACAAAATGTTTTTTTATTGACCGTATGAATGGTTTTGTTTTCAAATAAATATTTGGAAACGACAACGTATGCTTTGGTGTACTTTTACAGAGTTTTGCAATATATAGCCTACCTGATACTGCTGATCACAGATTGTCTCTGTGTGTTTTTACATCTATTGTTGCTTTTAATTTGCAGCTATACTTTTAATGAAGCTGACATGTCATGACAGTCAAGAACCACCCCCCCACCGCCCCGGGATTAGGGGATTACGGCAGCCAATCAGCATTGAGCTGCAAGCGACAGGACCCAGCTAAATACCGCTCCAGATGAGATTTCTCATCTCAAGCGATGAGCGAAAAATCTCTCTGTTGCTGTTGCTTGGAGCCCGAGCGATTTTTCTCCCGGGCGAATATACGCTCAATCGCCCGTTTGCATTGACTTTGTATGTAAACTCGTCGCTAGTGGAAAAAAAACAAGTCCGGTGTGAACACACCTTAAGACAGTTATTTTTAGTATTACAAGTTTTGAAATTTTGAAATATGCAAATGATGCATTATCTAAATGAAAATGCACTTATTTACATACATTTGATCCTGAACATTGGAGAAAATCAGGTGCAAATTTCTTGTTTCATTTTGTTGACATATTAACAGTTAAAATACTGTAAAAAATCTTTAGAATATAAATAGGAATCAAATGTAAAGTTTGGTGTATATAGGGCTACTGAAGTATAGGGCTGCAACTAACAATTATTTTCATTGTCGACTAATCTGTCGATTATTTCTTCGATTAGTCAACTCATTGTTTTATCAAAAAATGTGTTAAAATGTTGAAAAACGTCGGGCTGTCCCAAACCCCAAAATTATGTCATCTAATGTCTTGTTTCGTACTCACACCAAAAGGTTTTAGTTCACCGTCATGTGAGTGTGTAAAGCTGCCAATATTTGAACATAAGAAGCTGCAATAAGAGTATTTTGGGGTACTTTTATTGTACTTTTCTGTGAAAAATGACTCAAACCGATTAGTCGACTACTAAAATAGTCACCGATTATTTTAATAGTCTATTAGTCATCGATTAATCATCTAATCGTTGGAGCTCTACTGAAGTAAAGATTCTTGGCTCAGAGTATGAAGAAATAATCATTTTAAGAAAATAGCCTTTAAAGATATGTTGCCTGTGAAATTCAGAATATTTATAGATAAAAAAAATAAGATACTACACGTGAATAGGGTAACATTTTTAATAGATGTCACCATGAAACTTCTTCAGTTGATTACTTACATTATGACAATTATTTTTTATATTTTCAAGTTTTCTGAAAGTTTGTTTGAATATGCAAATGAAGCATTACCCAATCAAATATATTCCTTTTGCATACATTTCCAGAAAAGCAAAAACAAACCAAAATCAAAATAACTTAATTTGTGTAAATGTGTAAGTGCACACACAACATATTCAGTAACCAGACAAATGACAAACCTAATTTGACAACACACAGTGCAGCTTAAAATAATTTAGAATAGATATCCACCTTAAACAGAACAGAAACCTGGACTGTAATAAACACCCAAATCTCAGGGTTACTACGGTCATGAAAACCTGGAAAAGTCAAGAAATTTCCCATTTTCCAAGCCTGGAAAAGTCGAAATTAGTAAAATCATCAAATGTTTTGGGAAAGTCATGGAATTTTGTTGTGTGTAATAAAGTTGTTATAGTAATCTTCCATGGAAAACCTTCCATGTACTGTTATGTAACAGCAAAATTATTTTCTGTAGCTGATGACGTATTGTAACTAACGTGGCGATGTATGAAAAGGTTTTGTTTACCATCACGTACGTTTCTTCTTCATTCTCTCCCTGTGATCCTTCTCTCCCTTCATGTATACCAGCTACCCAAAATTATTTTTTTATTATTTTTTATTTGTTTAAGTCTGATATGTTTGCAAGCGAGGCAAGAAAAAAAAATGTATCATGGGTCCCTGAAAAGTCATGGAAAAGTTTTTAAATTTTGTCCATGAAAATGCATGGGAACCCTGAAATCTGCATTTTGGACAATTTTCTTTCAAGTAGTCTTAAAGAAGACATGTTATGGGTGCAAAAAAGCCTGAAAAATGCAAAACTGACTAGTGCATGGGAAAACTTCTTTTCATCTGTAGTGTCTCCCCATAAAAGAATTATTTGTTCTTGTTTGTTCTTGCGTTAACTGCTGCTGAAATGACCAAAAAAGAGAGTTTTCCTCCCTAGAATTGTATCTGGTTATGGTAGTAGATAGTCTTTGTTTTATCTGGCTTCTAGATTTCTGCCACCTCTGTCCTCATTGGTGAACTGACCCTTGAATTAGTCTCACTGATGAGTCTAATTTTCTGTCAGTTCAGGTTGGTTGCTTTCAATTAAATAAATTGTGCTTAATAGACATAAAACTTAAAGAGTTGCCTGTTTGCTGTTTGAGGTTCTCTGTGGCGGTATGTTCGTGCCAGCATGTCGCTGTCTGGGTATCTGCCTCCTCTCTGCGACCCCAAAGATGGACACCTGCTGATGGATGGAGGTTATATCAACAACCTACCAGGTGTGTTACACTCAGTCCTTTCAGTTTAATATTCATACCTCCCAGGGTTCAACGCTAAGGTTTTTTTTCACTTGCCCGGTTGGGCAAGTTGGTCAGAGATCAACTTGCCTGAAGTCAGTTTTTACTTGCCCTATAAAAATTGTTTAATTTAAGCGGCTATCAAATAACAAAGACTGCAGTTATTTTTATGTTATGTAATCTTTATTCACACTGTATTTATTAATTAAAACAACATATGTCATGTATTGTAGCTTAATTCCTACACAAATATGACAGTGTCAGGGCTGAAAGTGAAAAATTTGTCAATCATTCTCCGTCTATAATTTTGCGCCCTACTTGAGCCATGTCCACCTCTATTTATTTTTCACCCCTCTCTCCAGTTCTGCTGTATTAACACCAGGTTTAATATATTTTGCTTCCATCTCTCTGCCCTGCTCTACTCTACTTCAACGCTACTTAGCTCTCTCTCTACTCTACCGGTAGACTACTACATCCACCTGTTGCACAAAACGCACACAGCAGTGTTTCCCTAGGATGGAGTTGTAGCAGCGGAGGTGAAGCACACGCATGAAAAATAATTTTCACATGTGTGAAACTTTTTTGTATGCTTGCAAAGCACAGCCTGCTGGGATGTTTCTATGTATCTACTGGCACCAGAAGGGCTCTTTAGGACTAAGTACATACAGTACATGTGTGCAGAGTAATGAGCAGGTGAAATGTCTGTCTAGCTTACATATGATGTGTCTCAAGATTTAGGAACATACATTTATATTGAATATAATAAAAGTAAAAAGTCACTTGACATGCTGCTGTTTTGTGCTATGACCTATTTAAGTGTTGGAAGTTCCTATTTACGTGACAGCGCCTGAACGCAACACAAGCTCAGCATGAGTGCCGTGCTACGCTGCTCGTCTGTGCGTAACAGCAGTCTGTTGATGGTTATTTAGGCTACACACTGTCCATAACAATAACTTTGTCAGCTGACAAACTGCACCGGGCTCGGGGTCAGGTTTGGTCAGGAAGATGCGGCCCGAGCCGCTCTAGCGTGCTCACCTGTGTGTGTGGCGGAACTCCGCCGTGCACGATACAGAGAGCAGAGGAGAATTGTTAACACGTGACCATGTAGAGACAGAAATGACACGACATAACACCATAAATAGTATATTGTTATGTTATTATATGAAGTGTCCGTTGCGCAAAATAATATCAATGGGGGCTGTGGGCAGGACATTGTTACGTGTGCCTGTGATTTCAGGCAGAGAGACCGCTGCATCAGAGCCGTAGGAGCACGTTTTAAAATACATTTATTTTATCAATTACTTATTAACTTTTACTATTTTTAGCAACTTGCCCGATCGGGCAAGTGAGTTGTTAGTTTACATGCCCGACCTTGAGTTTTACTTGCCCCGGGCAATCGGGCAATCCTTATTGTTGAGCCCTGCCTCCATTGGCATTCTTTCTCTCTCTGCCTTGATCATGTTTTTTTGACTGTCTTATCACACATATGATTGATGAATCTCTCTCTTCCTCTGCTGTTCCACCTTTTGTTTCCATTTCCTCCTCTTCTCCCAGCTGATGTGGCACGCTCCATGGGGGCCAAAGTGGTGATAGCTATTGACGTGGGCAGCCGGGATGAAACCAACCTTACTAATTATGGCGACTCACTCTCAGGCTGGTGGCTGCTATGGAAACGCCTCAACCCCCTAGCAGAGAAAGTAAAGGTAATGGATTGATTAAAAATAAAGACAACAGACTGTGCGAGGATATCTTTTAAAAGTAAATGAGTCCTGTGAATAACAATGAGGAATTTTTTGGAGGTGTTTTTCAGTGATGCAGATGTTCATTTCTACCCTCGTGGCCTCAGGTGTTAAACATGGCAGAGATTCAGACTCGACTGGCCTACGTGTGCTGTGTCAGGCAGCTGGAGTCTGTGAAGAGCAGCGACTACTGCGAGTACATCAGACCTCCGATCGACAGATACAGAACACTGGAGTTTGGCAAGTTTGATGAGATTGCTGTAAGTTTAAGTGACAAATATCTAGAAATTCCCACAAGGCCTTCTGGCATATATTGTATAATGATTTTGCCATCAGTATAGAAAATAATATTGATGTGTGTGTGTTGGTGTTGTGTAGGAGGTGGGATACCAGCATGGAAAGACTGTGTTTGACGTGTGGGGCCGCAGTGGAGTGGTGGAGAAAATGTTGAAAGACCGACACCAGGAGGAGTTCCACCACACCCAAAGCAAGAGTCATGTAAGGACACAGGGAGGGAAAAACACTTGGGAATACTGTAGAATATATGACAAGAGAGCCATTAAAGGGTAGGTCCATTCCATCCTGGACCTTTTTCTCCCCCCCCCCATGTTTTTCTGTCTAAATGACTAATGGGAACAGCAATTGTCTAAATTGATTCAGTATTGAGTGACAGGGCTGCAGCCAGCAGCGAGGAATCAGGCTGCAATGTAACCACTTGGGGCATTTGTGCACATTCAGTTGAGTTCACGTCCACTTAAAGTGCTTGTTTTTGCCACAGACAGGCTTAGATGATTATTTTAAGTATCTTACTCTTTAACAGAGGTCTATCTCTGTTGAAATACTTTTCATAATGATGTCAGGCTTTTTTTTTTTGTTTGAACCAGAAACGGCTCAAAAATCGCCATCGCCAATTCCACCAGACTCCATTTAAGTAAACAGTAATTTTAGCGTGTGTAGAGGCAGCATATTTTCACATCTATTGGGGTGAACTAAGGGTTTATTTCAACCAAACCAGAGTTGGTGATTGTCAAAACAGTGAAAAGATGAACCAAGATTGTGTTGGTTAGTTTTTTCTTGTGTCTGCTGACTTTAAATGAAGTCTGTTTTACGTTGATACAATTGCTATTTAATTTAATGGAGTCTGGTGGGATTGGTGATGGCGATTTCGGGGCTTTTTCGGGTTGTTATTCTTTAACAAAAGGTCTTTCTCTGTAGGGTTCCTTTCCATAATGTTGCAAGACACTTAATATAATAATCTGAACCTGTCTGTGCATGTGATGGTGCGAACATGCTTGGAGTGGTTACATTGCAGCCTGTTTTGCGGTCTCACACAATACTGGACCAGTTTCAAAAACTGTTGTTTCAATTACTCACGTAGACACTAAAATATGGGAAAAAAGGGTACAGGTTGAAAAAGGTTAAACTTCCCCCTTGAGGACTGTTTAATGCAGAGCAACAACTGAGTCTGGACCAAATTCTCCTTGTGGTTTAAATTGTAAAGCCTGGTTCAGACCAAAGATTTGCGACAATACGAGTCTAAATGTGCAACTACTTGCAATGTGCCGTTCTGCAGTGTTCTAAAAACCTGCCAGTTCACACCAGTGCAACTAGATGGGATGGTGTATCATCTCTGTGCAACAACTCTCCGTACTTCTGTTCTGATTTGTAGCTTTTCAGGCTTATTTTGTGGCTGAATATAATTTGTAGCTACTTTAAATATGAATGAGGATAGTGATAGAAATATACTGGCTACAGTTGCATTTGTAGTATTGACCCACCGTCTGACACTGGCACACCATGAGGATGAAAACAGAGGGCTTGGCATGGACGGATCACCTGCTGCAGCAAGCGAATACGCCGTCTGTGGTCATTTTGACTTGACCAGCGGACTCCACTACAAACCAGTTGGTCTGAACTGGGCTTAACTATAGATTCTCATCACTACTCTGAAGTATCTCAGTTGGTCTACAGTGAAGTAGCCGACATGAGACATTTCTAACTCAAATTATCTTGCGTTCATGGTTTAGTCCAAGCTAGTTAAAAACATGCAACCACAGAGTCGCAATGAAATACTGTGTCATAATTTCTCTTTGTTTTGATTGTCTGAGTTTTGCAATCAAACTGATTAGCTCACAAACACATTATCTCAGTAACTGCTCTGCATTAGTACCCACCTGTGCAAAAACAAAGCAAAATTCACATCCTCTGGAGTGTGGTCTCTATCTGTGATTTCATTTGCAGTCCATGTATGTTTAATCAACCACATGGGTATACTATAATGGCTACATTTTCTCTCATTGTTATTGTTTCTACATCCTCATTGTCAGCTGCATGGCATCGTCAACAGCCTCATGTGTTAGGCCTTGGGCTGCACTGCTGTTAAAGCAATAACAGTAAAACTATGCATCACTCAGCTCTTAAAGCACAGAGAAACAGATTTACTGCACACCAGATTTGTCCCCCAGCAATGTCAAAGAAAGACAAAGGACCAACTAAACAAGGAAGGAGACAGAATGATGAAGAAAGATGAGATATTTACCCCCAGTTTTAACAACAACATGAGCAGGATGCAGAGAAAAATAACAGGGTTGATATTGAAAGGAGTTTTGATAATAGCCCCAAAGCAACAAACTAACAAATCAACCTGAGTAATTGTGGAGATAAGGACGGCGCAGATTTGAAAACGGTCTTATAAATGAATCCAATTTTCATTCTTTAAAACAATAGCTACCCCACATAGGCAGTTAATGAGTGTCTTTCTATTTTAGGTGCTAGTGTAGGGTGCGACTCTCAGGGGAAATAATGCATCTCTTACCGTGATGGATTCTACATAATGTGCTCAGTAATGCTGCACAAAATGCTGAACGAAAAAAAAAACCCAAATCAGATGGGGGAGATTTAAAACAAAAGGAGGAGTTTGTGGTTAAAGCTAACGAAAAACTGAGAGTATTTAAGATCCAGAATAAGCAACTAATGATTGCAAGACGTGATCAGTGATCATTAAATTAGCATGGTGGAGGAAGAGCCTGTCAATCGGAATGTATGTGGACAGATTGTGTGTCTCTTCATCCCCTTCTGGCACCATAGGACCCTGACACACAGGCGTCAGTTGCCCTAATTTTTGCGGTGTTTCTCGTACCGTTAGCACTAGTCAGCCCGCCAGTCCTTGTTATTTTTTGGCCAGTTCGGCATGTTGAATCTGCGCAGGAGAGCCGGTAAGAGATATCCCTCTGATTGGCAGTTCAGCTCAGTGCACGAGAAGAGAAACAGGCGTGAGGAAAGTAAACAACCTGCTGAAGTCTAGAGGACGTGAGATTGAAAGCAATAGCTGTGTCTCAATTCAGGGGCTCCAGCCTTCGAAGGCTGCATTTGAAGACCAACTGCGTTTCATCTGCGCGACCGAGGCTCTCCCAATTGAAAGGCTCCTTCAAATGCATAATGAGAAATGCAGCCCCCTTTCCCAGAATGTTGAGGATGCAACGGATGAATCCTTCATGGCCCAGCCTATCCCAAGATTCATTGCGCATTAACTAACAGTTGTTCACTAGCTAATGGTTAACATTACTATTAGCTAAAAACATGCAGCTTAAACAGTCTTAATTTAATAGGTTGACCTGAAAACGGTCCTCCGTCAGCCTGAAATATATCAAACGGCGGTGTCTCAGGCGGTGAATCATCTTCTCAAGTATTATTTAAAGAAATATATATATATATATAATAACAATCTCTGGGTCCATTATTCAGGGCTAACTAGCTTACTCCGTCTTTTGTCAAGCGCAGCTGGATGCAAGGTAACAGTAACGCCAACGTGTCGGGGTGAGAACAACTGGTGATGAAACCAGGAAATCCTCCGCAGACCAGACCGCCCTATTTCAGAGACCTTTCAGTTTGGCTGATGCAGTCTTCAAAGGAGGCAGCCAACATCAACCGTGAAGGATGCATCCTTCAAAAGCTGCAGCCCCTGAATCGGGACACAGCTAATGTGTGATATTACGTTTTTCTTCAGCCATTGAGCTCTTCAGCAGAAACAGCTCTTGGTTGTTTGTGTTAATATTTGCCAGCACACGATAGATGCAGTTCTAAATCTAATTTGTTCTTTCAACATCGGTTCGTGTTGTTAATGTGCTAACTGACTAACTAGTGTCTTAAATCCGTCCTGTCGGTCTTCCAGCTTCCCTTTTTTAACGATGAATACAGACTACCGCCACCTGCTGCTATGGAGAGTTATTTCCTCTCAGTCAGGCGCAGAGCGTAGGTGCTAGTTGGCTCTTGGCTGTAGTCTTTGCGGTGTGTTGAAGTGGAATATTTTCATGTTTTCACCACTGGCTTATGTAAGGAGGAAGACAGTGAAGCGTTTTAACAGACAAGGTGTTGACGCCTGGCAGCTGGCGAAGTTAAAGCCCACTGGTTAGTTATCTTATTCCAACAGATTAAAATAGACCCAGTGCCTGATTTCAGAATCTCTCCAACTGTTTGTTTGCTCAGTCTGTGTTGAGCATTTTTGTGTATTTTGAGTTTCTGTGTGTGTGTGTGTGTGTGTGTGTGTGTGTGTGTGTGTGTGTGTGTGTGTGTGTGTCTTTCAGGTGGTAACTTGTCCCAATGCTTCCTTTACCGACCTGGCAGAAATTGTGTCACGCATCGAGCCCGTCAAACCTGCTCTTGTGGATGGTAAATCTACCGACACACTCTCACTTTGAGCCACACTCATGATCACAGTCTGTAAACATGCATGCACTCTGTGTCTGGGAGAAGACGTACTTTTACTCTTTCATGTTTGTCTTTCCTGTGCTCGCTGTTCTTTGTCTTTGGATGGGTTTTCTTTCTTTCTTTTTTTCCTGTCATTCTCCATTACCAAATGGATCAGTTTCACGCGGAGGAGGAAATGGGTTGCTGAAATCTCCATTGCAGAATACATTTTAGCAATTATGTGTTAAAGTAAACATTTTTGTGGCATGCTATGACAATTTTTATGAAACACTATACTGTGACTTTGTATATGCCATTTTTTATGGCTATAGCATTTTTTTCTGACATAGTATACTATGACATTTCATATATTATTTTTTATGGCATACTATAATATGAAAGTTTTATGGGATTTTTTTTTTAACATTACTATGACAATTTCTATGACAAAAGATACTATGACTTTCTATTTGACATTTTTTATGGCATACTATACATGACATTTTTTTAGAACATTTTATGGCATTTTTATGACATCCTATACTATAACCTTTTACCTAAGTTTGTTATGGCATACTGTACTGACATTTTTATGATTTTTTTTTTTTTTTGTTTTTATGGTATACTACCCTATGACCATTTTTATGAAAGTGAATACTTTGACTTTCTATATGGTAGTGTGAATCTCTTTATGAGATGGCATGTTAATTTTTTTTTATAGCATACTATACTATGACATTTGTATGAATTTAACAGATTACTTTGACTTTCTATTTGACATTTTTTATGGCAACCATATTATGATTTTTTTATTAAACAGTTTATTTATGTAACAGTTTTTATAGTGTACTATATTTTTGTTATTTTTTATTTTATGCAATACTACACTACAACAATTTTTACTCTGACTTTCTTTATGGCAATTTTATGGCATACTATATTATGAATTTTTCATGGCATTCTATGACTTTTTAGATAACATTTTTATAACATTTTGTCACATACTATACTATGACTTTTTATATAATTTTTTTATGGTATACTATACTGAGACAATTTTTATGACATACTATATTATGAATTTTTATGGCCTTCTATACTATAATTTTTTTTAAGTGGCATACTATATTATGATATTTATCATGACATTTTTATGGCTTATTTTACTATGTGTGTGTGTGTGTATATATATATATATATATATATATATATATATATATATATATATATTACTGTACTTTTTTTTTAATTACATTTTTTTGTTGCTGACTATACTATGATTTTTTTATATAACATTTTTTATGACATACTATGCTATGACATTTTTCATTACATTTTTCGACTTTACTTACTGTGACCGGAACCTGTATGTACGCCTGATTTGAAATATGTGTGAGATGAGCACATTCTCACCACAAAGGGAAAAGGCATATGCAAGGTTTTTGTTTTTTAATGCATCATTTATACATCTGGTCCCTGGTCTCTACTGTGCATTTTATGTGCACATGCCATGATGGGTTTTTGTTAGAGCTCCTACATGACATCACCCTCCTAAAGCTCACCAAAGTTTTATTACCTTTTATTAGTATAAGTTTATTGGTCAAATGCTGGATATATAAGTACATGTACTGAAATTCTTGACCTTCAATTCCTTTAATTGTGTATTAACATACATATAAAAGACGATAATATAAACAATCTGTTTATTAGCCTGATAAAAGAAGTTTGTGTTTGTATTATAGGGAACAAGATTTGTTTCTAGCTTTTATGCATTACTGATATTACTCTAATATACCTTGATGCAGTGGTCCAAAGAATTATCACAAATTAATATTGTTTAGTTGTGCTATCTTACAATCAGTATATACTAAATGCAAGTTTAATTGTGTTGCTAATGTAACTGGTTAGAAGTTGAAGTGGCAATGGGGTCCTTAAATGTATGGAAAGGGTTTTAAAAGGTGGAACATTAAGGAATCCTGCATAAACCCTGTTGTAACATGCTGATGGAAATTAGGACCTGTGCCAATTTCATATTTCAAATCAAGCATTTGCAGTCAAACAGAAACAATATACATTTTTAAGATTGTTTTTAGAAACCATCTGTAAGTGCAACCTCATAGAACATCCAAAGGTGTTTTTCCTCAGACATCTCCATCCTCTCATCCGTCCTCTTCTTTCTATTTATAACCTGTTTGTCATCCATCACTCGTCACATTGCCCTGTTTGACTTCTCACAATGCCTCACATTTTTTGCTTCTCTGACTCATTCACCTGAACACCCACTTTTGTTTGTCACCTCTTCTACACACCACATATTCCAACTTATTCACCCACAATGTGCTTCTTTGCTTCCTGTCCTCCGCTCCTTCCCTTCATCAGAGAAGTCAGAGTACAACACTGACTATGAAGAGGAGGCAGTGGAGAGTGCTCTGTCTGACATGGAGCTATACAATCGCTATGGAGAGCACACTGAAGGGGAGGAGACTGCTGACACGGTGGGAACCACTGCTTCTAAGGGTGGACACGATGGGGGTTTCTTCTACTTAAAAATGCATCTTGTGGTTTACTTGCACACTTTTATTGGCCACAATAACTTTTTGTTAAATCTAGACTTTGGGAAAGTCAAAAGTGTCCTGTTGGCCCATGTACAGGAAGAGATTAAAGTTCACTCTGGAGCCAGGCCAATTAATACTCTAAATGCGATCAATAAGACCATAAAATATATCTGGATATTAATTGGAGGACACTGCAGGGCCACATAATTTAACTAAAATGGCATGTTTTAGTACAAGTCACAAGCCGGGGCCTGAGAAAGTGGTAGGGCTTTGACTTTGAGTCGAACATAAGGGGATTGGGCCAAGACTCAGTTAAGCCCTAAATAATGTTTTCCAAGTCAGACGGGGGGAAAAAAATGGCATATTCCACTCCATAAAAGATTCAGGTCTACGGGAATCACTGAGTTCAACTGACAAGCACAGCTGCATTGTGTTGGAAGAATTTAATCTAGGATTTTAAAAAAAGGATAACACTCATAAGTCTAAACTTTGTCATTGAAAAAGGGAACCGATTTTGGCCGTAAAAATTACGGCACTAAACAACTGAGAAAAATGTCAGCGATTCCTTCAAAGTCTCGTCAACTGTCAATTGAGATATTGCGATCAGTTTTCACAAGAGGACAAAGGTCTTGTAACATGACTACAGAGCGTCTTTCACCCTGACTCAAAGTAAAGCTGTTCATATGTTTTAAACTGAAACGCAAAACAAGTTGCTCCAACTTCTACTACAATCAGCCTATTATACACATCTGTTACTACTGCTTCAGAGACGAAGTGCAGTGAAGAGATGTCTGAAGATTCTCAGTCATCCAGGTCATGGTAATCGTAAGCGCTATTATATCGTAGCCAACTGGACTTGCTTGCGTTTCTTGAAGACGTTTTGCCTCTCACCCAAGAAGCTTCTTCAGGTCTAAATGAATTCACCCCTGGTCCCACCTGACCCTAACGACACACATGATGGCCAGGTGGGTCAACGACTCACATCGTGACCTTAACGGCTATGAAAGTATGAGTTCACATGTGACTCCAGCGACTCTGCAAGGGTTCACACCCACACAGGGTTTAAATCCTGCAACTCCGTAACAGTCAGTTAGAACTGAAGAAGCCTCTTGGATGAGAGGTGAAACGTCTTCAAGAAACACAAGCAAGTCCAGTCGCCTATGATATAGCACTTGTGATCAGTGAAGAGATAATTAGTGAGAATGGGTTGAAGGTGTACAGCACAGTTCGTCAAAGAAAGGTTTAGAGATATGCCTTTTTTTACCTGGATGATTTGACCACGTCTGTTACTTCTACTACTACTTCAGATGTCTACACACGTATGCAGAATCAGTTGGCAACTGTACAAGAGTTTGGTACTATGGTTAACTAGGGGTGAAAATCACTAGCTTCATCACGATACGATATTATATCGATTTGTTTGGATAATGATACGATGTTTGCTGATATCACAAAGTGTGTCACGATACAATTTTGATACGATTCGATTCAGGAGCCTGCGATCGATATGACGCGATATCATATGCCCATCTAACACAATCATTTACATCAACTCACAAAAACAACTAGATTTGACCATTTTATTCCTGAGCTCTGTTTGTTGTTTGAGCGGAGGCGCGCTTGCCCAGAAATGGTGACACAGACGTGCTATGTGAATTTCAAAATAAATGTGTATCTTTAAGATATGGATCAATGTATCGTTACACCCCTACAGTTAACACAATTCGGACTACAAATGAAAACCAATCACCTTTGAGCAGGCTTTGGTTTCCTGCAGGTAAACAGTCAGTGTGGAGAGCAAAATTGCAGTGTTGGAACACATTGGCTATCACATTATGCTGACTTTTTTAAAAATTTATTTGCATCCATATGCAGATATCTGTTAATAGAGAAAAGCCGCAATGTTGCCAGACAACAAGCTACACCTGTCTCTAGTTGCTAATGAAACTGTAAACAATGATTGGGACACAGGAAACGTCCAGATATCCGCTGGCTACACTGGATCTCCTGAAATATTTGCAGTTGTCACCAGAGGCTTTATTGAGGGTGTCTACAGGTCCTTAAAAAGTCTTAAATTCAATGTTACAACAATAAGGCCTTAAAAGTCTTTGTGAGGTCTTAACGGCTACAAACATTTTATCTAATTTTATTTATCCATTTTTTAAATTTCTTTTTGTGAACATGAGTGAAGCCTTTCTATGTGAAAGTCCACATTTCTGATGTTATAGATCTTTTAAAAACTATAATACTGTAATTTTACTTAATACCTGCACTTACCTGTTAGTACAGTGTAGATTGACTTAACTCATGTTAAGTAAGTAAAACATTAAGTAAAACATGATTTGTCCAAAAATCTGTCCTAAATTTGGTTAAAATGTGTCTTAAACAGCTCTTGAAAAGCATTAAATTTAACTGTCTGATACCTGTAGACACCTTGATATTGTAGTCAGACAACAGCTGATGGGTTCTGGGATTGGTTGCATCTATGATGAGGCTAGTCAGAATTCTAATGAGCAAGATGAGCAGTTCAAATCAGATCAAATGTGAGATTATTAAAGGATAGGTTCACATGTTTTGAAGTTTTTCTTTCTACAAAAGCATCCATAACCTTAATCATTCCTTATGGCCACACTGATCACAAAAGAACCCCTTTTAAAGCCATTTTGACGGCTTTAATTAAAGTGACGAGGGACGAAATGCACAGTAGTGTAAAGATTTTGTCGTTAACTTATTGCTGCCAAATGAGACTGAAGGGGAAATTCTGGTAATACGTACCTTGAATTTACATTTTCTAGCCGAGAGGCGTAAAAAACAGAAAGGGAACAAAATATTTATCAATAGAACCAGATGCTTTGGACAAGGGCCATGTATCACAGTAACCATGTTATTTGATAATGAGCCATTAAGTAGAAGTCTGTTACGCATTTGTAACCTCTTTTTCTTCAGAATCTGATTAAATGTGTATTATTGAGATGAACTGTTATTTGAACTCCTCTTCTCCTCACTGATCCATAACTCTGCTTTCACTTCTCAGGATGAAGAGGTGGAAGGGAGACACGCACGCCACATTACCTCACTCACCAGCAGCAACCCCCAGTCTCCCACCGCCTCTGACAGTCCGTCAAACCACGAAGTCCATTAAGTGAGGACCAGTCTAATGAGCTCTGCTCGATCAGGTCGTCACAATTTAACCTGCCACATTTTACCCTCCAGTCTGTCCCGCATGACTCAAAACCTGTCCCCTGTCCCCTGCCCCCACGACCGTCGGCATGACTGCGATTACTATTTTGCCCTCGGTAACCTGGCCTCGTTAGCTGTGTGGCTGACATAACGAATGTGCAGCCACTTTTAAAAAAAATGAATACGGACAGGTAGTAATGTACTTAGCTGCAATCCTATGCATTCCTATTATATAAGAGCAGCTGCAAGCTCTATCATTTCTCATATTGAGATAGTGGAGAGTGCATCTGTAGCTTTACATGAATCACATAGACCAAGATAGAAGGTAGGAGAGGTCGGGAGATACTATTTCCATGAAATAATAATTACATGAGTCAAGGTGTCAACTTCGGCTGTTGGTTGATTACATAAAGAAGATAGATTTGAGATAAAGATTCACTTCACCTCACTTCTGTTATCTAGACATGCAGATAGTTTTGACGTATGCATCTCTGAGATTTCTGCCACACACAACGTTAAAAGATACAAGACAAAAAAAAAACTGGCACGTCCAAAGAAAAATGAACAAAAGGATAAGACAGAAAAAAAAGTTGCAGATTTCCTTTTAATTTAGATATCATCTCATCATCTCAGGCCACTGAAAATCTTTCAAATTAAAGCACCAAGATGGCATAATCACTCTTTGGTTGCCCTGCTAATAATTCCTCTCCACAGTGACGTGTTGAGCAGTCACAAGTAGGCATTACTGTATTATAAAAGTGCAGTCAGCGATTCTAATCTAAATGACTTTGTGTCATATTCAGCAAAGATCTCACGCTCCACTAGCTGTCTGCTCTGTGTGGGCACTGAAGAAAAATAGACAGATTTGTTAGATAGATAGATAGATAGATAGATTCAAAATACTGAATTCAATTCACCTCACTTGTATTTGGAGTGGCAGAAATCTCAGGGCAAATAACACCAAAACTAACAACATAGCTAGATACCCTGAGAGGAAAGTAAGACTAACAGTCAGTGGCTACTTCATCAGGTACACCTGTACAATCTAATGCAGTCCAATACAACAGCTCTGTCATAACATCGATCTATATAAAGCTAATAGCGCTCAGTTATTGGAGACAGTGTTGGAAATGTGTAAATTCAATTAGATGTTCATAATTGAGGTCAAATGAGGTGTTTCTATTATTTTGTCCTCCCTATTTGCATACATTAGGAGGGCAGAATATTAGAAACACCTCTGCATATAATGCAGTCCAGTACAACACCATCATATGACCTCAGTGCCCAAAAGAAAACTGATTACATGCATTATAAAAGTAGACTTTTTTGCATAACAGTTGTATTGGATTACAATAGAATGTATGATTGTACCTAATAAAATGGCATGTGAGTATTGCATTGATGTATTAAGTTAGACTTGACAAAAATCAGAGCCGCTCCTTATCGTTTTGTGCATTCAGTCTACGTAACGATCCACATCAGCAAGCCTGATGTAAAAACAGAAAGCGAGCAAAACAAGCAGCGCGCTCTGCGGCCATGGCTGTCAGCACAGCTTTGTCGCACCCAGTGTGCCAGGGACATGGAGGGAAGTAATGATTGCAATCCACTTCAAAGCACTGGTTTCCCCTCTCAGCTGGCGAGAGAAGCCTCCCCCCCACCCATCTGTTTTCTGGCTCGAATCTATCAGACACAGACTGAGCGGCAGACAGTGTGGATCTGTCGAGTGAACTGTGACGCTCCGCTCGCCTCAGTACAGTTTATGCACAGGGGCTATTTGCAGCAGCGGGGCAGATCTTCACAGGAACACATTGTAACACGAGTTATTTGGCTTGTCAAGACATGCTTTAACTTTTTTTTAAGTGACTTGGATCAGATTTTTCTTTTCAAACTGCCATTACGATGATCAGATTTTTGTTGCATACATAATATTATCTGAGTAAAATGAAAAGAGTCTCTGTAGGTCTTGCTTTGATTTTCTTAACATCCGTTTGGCTGATTGATTATGCACTTATGAAGTGTATTGCTGAGGACCCAAGGGAGTGCGAGCCCTTAAAGTAGATCTGTGGAACATTTTATCAGTATTGTATTATGTTCATACTGTGTAGCATATTGAAAAGGGACCCCCGGTGTTGTAGTCTAGACCATTTAATCCAAGACCAAGTCATAAGCAGTCATGAGTCAAGGCCAAAGTGTAAATTTAAAATAAGAAATGAGTTAAGTTATTGGATGCATTATTATTGCATCATATCACTGTGATGATGTTAGCCAACAAATCAAACAATGCACAGACAATGTAGTGATATCCCCCGCAGCTGTGGACTCGACCGGTCTTGAAACAAAATCCTGCATACTCTTTAGTCCCGTTTCCATCAAACATGTTCAGTATGGTACCTTTGTAACCAAAAGTAACCCTTCAGACATGGTACCTAGACCCTAGTGTTTCCACCTCAAACAGTACTCTTAAATGTGAGTGGGGTTGTTGTCACTCACTGCTCCGTCCAGCACTCACTGTATTTCCTCATTCCTCATTACCAGTGACACCAGTCTGCATCTCGTTTATCGTCCACAGAACGGGGTTGCACACAGGCCCAGATCAAAATAAAACAGGCTGCAGTGAGAGTCTCTCTCCATGGGATATTTAAATTTTTCCCACTTGTTATGTGTATGTCATGGGAGAGGCAGAAAAACATTCATTGTATAGTTACAATTTACTAATAAAACTCTCCACGGTATGAACAGTGGCTACATGAAACCAGCCACAACTCAGCCTTGAGCAGAGTGACTGTCCTCTATTGACCAATCAGACTGCAGTGTTCACAGCTCCACCTTTTAGTACCAGATCTGTGTGCTAGGTACCCCAACAGAGGGGGGATTAAAAATGGTGACAGTATGGAATGGTTCCATTGGTACCATCCACAACTTTTCACAGTGGAAGCGGGAAAAAAAAGCGTGTTGAGCTGAACTGAACCATACTGTACTGCTTGGTGGAAACGGGGCTTTTGAGACAGGAGTGAGTAAAAAAGCAGTCAGTTGTGGTCTCAAAACCAAGACCGATCTTGAGTACTACAACACTGGGAACCCCTATTTCTCTCCGTTGCTTGCTACAGTACATTCAAGAAGAGATGAAAAACAGAGATTGGAGACACCTGAGATGTTAAACTGTAGCAGACTCATATTAACATTTCAAGCATCAGCAATGTAACTTTCAAAATGAACACTTTTGTTCCTTGAAATAGCCTGGTCCCAAATACCCAGCTGTTAGCATATGATGCATATACTGTAGCAATGTTTTAGGACGAAACTATATCATAACAGCATGCTTAGGAAGGAAGCGCAGTGTCACGTGTGAGGTTGATTGGATGAGCGGTTCTCGAGAAAGCTGCAAGCAGAAACAAGAGACCAAGGAATGGGACTGTTCTAAACAGATACTTTAAACGGAGACTGCAGTCATTGTGAGAAAAGTGAGAAACTGAATATATTCATATTTAAGCCGAGAATGTATACAACCTTAGCCCTAGATGTTTTTATGCACAACATTCTGACAATCACTCCAGAGATGCAATGCAATGTACAAACACACTAACACATTGTTACATAGCCTTGTTTAACACGCCTCTGTATGGCACTTTACCATGTTTAGAGTTGACCTCAGTCACAGCTAGAGCTGCAACTTATGATTATTTTCAGTATTGATAATCGTGATCTTTATGTTTATGTTGTATGTATGATCTTTGTGTTTAATTAACACATTAATATTTTGATTCATATAACGTTACAAAATAGAAAATGGATTGTCAAATTTCTTAAAGACTGAGGTGACGTCTTTAAATTGTTTTTGTCTGACCAGCCGTCCAAAGCCCAAAGATTTGTAGTTTACTTTGAAGTGATTCCAGGAAAAACAACAAAGCCTTATGTCTTAGAAACTGGAACCATTAAAAGGTTTGCATTTTTGCTTTACGAACGGCTTGAAAATTAATTATCGAGATTAATAGTTAATGGTTTTTACTAATTGTCTCAGCCCTTATCGCCTTATTACCAGAGCCCTAACAACAGAGCATGACAAACATTTTTTTAAGTAGATCCCTTCAATATGTTTTTGAAAGGAGTGTGATAGTCAAAAAAAAAAACTTGCCTGTGTTCTCTGACCGAAAAAACATGTAATAGTGCAATTGTGCTGCTATTTCCTGTTAATTATCTGCTGACACATCATCTACAAATGTATCTGCAATAAGCTAATATCAACCGGCCAGTTAATCAGTCAGGCTTTAATCGTTTGAATATCAATGCAACATTTTTATTGTTTTATTTTCACCCCACTCAATAAAGCACCCTGTGAGCCTCACCGTATGAAGCTGCGATCTCTGCTTATACCGGTGACACAGTCCCTGTGGCCTTACACGTGTAGACAGTAGGAGAAACGCTGTGACAAACACTAAGGGTTTCCCACTTGGTGTTGGTTAAGAGTCTGGACACAGAATGTGTGAACAAGGCGGAGACAGAAAAATGTTGTTTACCAGTGAGGTAATGTTGTTTGCACTGGTGTTTTTTTTTTTGTACTTTTGGGTGGTTTCCAAAAACTGAGCACAATGAATTGATGCTGTCTGGCAGAATGAATGTTTGGCTACTTTATAAAATGGGACATGGTAATGGATGAGGTGCTTACGTAATGTGTGGGACTGTGCCATGAGTTAATGTTACAAAGCCTTAGATGACCTGTACAGAAAAAAAACAACCACTTGTGCCCTCATTTAGCGTAAGTGTACAATGATGAATGTTTACCAGTAAGCCTGTAATGTATGACATCAGTTACTTATCTATATTTATGATATTTGATAAATATGTTTTTGATAATCAATTGTTACTAATAAACAACTGTTTGATGTATCCTGTGAGCCTGTCATTGTTTAATTTCCCAATGGCTTTGTTTGCTGTAGAAAAGAAATGATTATTTTCATCTTTGATTAATGCGCTGATTATTTTTTCAATTAATTGTTTGGTTTATAGAATTATGAAAAATAGTCAGAAATCAGATTATGGTGCCTCGCAGATCCCTGACAGAGTGACACTTCTCTGTAGAGGTAACAAACTCAGAGGGAAGTTAAATTGGAATACATAAATCTGCTTAGTGCTGTTGCTTGGGGGCATCTGCAGATTAGATCATGTGTTAATGAAATTCACCTGAGTAAATAAAGCATTATTGGAAAAATAAATTGTCAACCAGTGAAGAGGTGGTTCCAGTGGGTGGCTCGGTGTTAAATGTGCTTCAGTGAAAGTACCCTGGCCTCAACACTGGAGTCAGCCCTGCTCAAGTTTTGTGCTACGTCCTGAATATTTACCAGCTTCAAAGTTTTATGAAGCTCTTTTGTCATACAGAGATGGACAAGGGGAAAGAGAATTCCCCTGTAGGGGACCAGTGGTTTGCACTGTCTCTTCATAGTAAGCACCTGGGTTTGAATTTCAGCACAGGTCCTTTCTGTGTCAAGTTTCCATGTTCTCTCTTGCTAAAACTAATGCAATAGAATACGACACAACCCGGAAACACATCTTATATTTATGAAGATTACAATATTAAAGGAACAGTTCACCCAAAGATCAAAAATACATATTGTGGTGCTGAGAGCCAATATAATACATTTCAAAAACTCAACAGCAATGTCTCTTTCCAAAAATCATGACCCAGTTAGTCAAGGAAATCCCCAGACCTTGTTCTGAGCAGTTCATGTAGGGACGATTTTCTTTCTACCAGACTACACCTGCCAATCATTTCACTTTTTAGTAGAAGGCATGCATCTACTGCTGAAGCACTGAGCACCACTGAGCTAGCTAATGGCTAGGCAGTAATATTGTGGGAATATAGTACAGTATGCTGTTAAAAAATGTCACAGTATAGCATGCCATAGAAACCTTTTAGTGTACCAGACCTATGCCATAGGAATGTCACTGTATAGTATGCCATTAAATCTGATGATATATTATTGCATAAAAAATCATAGTATGACATAAAAAAGTCACAGCATAGCATAGTGTTGCATAAAAACATCATGCTTTCAAAAAAGTCATAATGTAGTGCACCATAGAAGCCTCATAGTACAATATGCTTTTAAAGATGATACCAAGTTTAAGATTAAAGTCACAATATTTATTATGTCTCAAAAAAGTCATACTATGGTGCTATAGTAGGTCATAGTATATTACGCCATAAAAACGTCAGCCATGAAGTCATATTATGGTATGCCATAGAAACCTCATAGTATGGTATGTCATAAAAATGTCATAGTATACTATGCCATAAAAATGACAATACAGTATAACAAAAAGGTCATATTATGGTATGCCATAGAACCCTCATAGTATAGTGTGTCATAAAAGCAGCAGTATAGTATGACATGAAAAAGTCACAGTATAGTATGTCATCAAACACAAAGAAAAAAAGTCTTAGTATACTTTGTTGTCACAAAAAAATGAAAAACAGGTCATAGTATAGTATGTCATCAAAAATCATGAAAAGAAGTCATAGTATACTCTGACTTTTTTCATGATTTTGGACGACATACTATACTATGACTTTTTTTCATGATTTCAGACGACATACTATACTATGACTTTTTTTCATGATTTTGGACGACATACTATACTATGACTTTTTTCATGATTTTGGATGACATACTGTACTATGACTTTTTTGTGTGTTTTGTATGTCGTCACAAAACACGCAAAAAAAGTCATAGTATGTCGTCCAAAATCATGTAAAAAAGTCATAGTATAGTATGTCGTCCAAAAAAAAGAAAAAAAAGTCATAGTATAGTATGTCGTCCAAAATCATGTAAAAAAGTCATAGTACAGTATGTCATCCAAAACCATGAAAAAGAGTCATAGTATAGTATTTCGTCCTGAATCGTGAAAAAAACGTCATAGTATAATATGTCGTCCACAATCATGAAAAAATATCATAATATAGTATGTCGTCTAAAATCATGAGAAAAAGGTTACAGTATAGTCTGTTGTCTGAAATCATGAAAAGAAGGTCATAGTCTTGTATGTCATCTGAAATCATGAAAAAAAGTCACAGTATTGTATGTCGTCACAAATCGTGAAAAAACGTCATAGTATAATATGTCATCCAAAATCAGTAAAAAAAAATGCATAGTATAGCATGTTATCCAAAACCATGAAAAAAAGTCATAGTATAGCATGTCGTCCCAAATCATGAAAAAAAGTCATAGTATAGTATGTCATCCCAAAACCATGAAAAAAAGTCATAGTATAGTATGTCGTCCCAGATTATGAAAAAAGTCATAGTATAGTATGTCGTCCCA